TTCGCCATTCGCGATCAATTTTTTGTTCTTATTGTAAATCGCACAACCTTTTTTGCTGAATACGACGGTATGATCATTTTTTACCATTTGCGAAACAGACAACAAGTTGACACACAATTCTGGCACACATTGAACGTTTTTTATGAGAATTTCATTTTTAGCACCGCCAGCACTCACGGTTTGTTTGTAATTACCAATGCAGTGAACTTCAATTTTTTCGTTGTTTGCCACAATGATACTACGTTTTTCTGGGTCACGAATGTTTGTTAGGTTAGCACTATTTTTGCACATATGAGCCGAGGCTCCACTGTCGATGATCCAAGTGCTTTCAGCATTATCAGCAAAAAATGATGTAAACAAAACCATGCTATGTTGGTTTTCGTTGCCATTAGAGTTTTTTCGAACTTTTTGTTGTTTTTACTGCATTTGTTCGCGAAATGTGGTCCACCACATTTAGAACACTTCACACCTTTCTTGAACATCTTCTTCTTCTTGACAAAAAGTGCATTTTGTTGATTGGAGCTATTGACCACAATAGCTCCTTGTAGAAGAATATTCTTAACGTAGTCGGTTGTCAATTTCGTGCCGGTACTTTCTAAGCCAAAAATCAATGGCTTATATTCCGCGGGTAGACCGGCCAGCATTATGGAAGCTGCTACTTCTTCGTCAATATCAAAGCCTACTGCTTTCACCTTCGACCAATTCGTGGTCATGGAATTGACATATTCTTCCCATACATTCTGACACCAAAAAATTCAGGGGGGGTCAAAACAAAAAAAAAAAAGGTCCTCACTTTCGAAAATCGATTCTATCTAGTGTAAAACCGGTGTGAGGACTAAAAAAAAGGTCCGAAAATGGCAACGGGTCCAAAAAAATCGTTGGGGGTCAAATTTTGCCAGGGGGGTCAGCATCAACGAGATCAGACTATGTCAGAACCTATGATTCTTCCATAGATGCACAATCGAATAGCTTAGTAGTGTAACGGTACGATCGTTGCATGATCGTGCGAAGTAAAGAATACGAAGTAAAGAATAAATTAGTCTTGTATCAGAACTCATACGCTTCAGTCGCACTATTCATTACATTCCTTTACAGCGGACCTGTCGCATGAACAAGTGATAAGTATTTCAATATATATATATATATATATAGTCAATTATATCTTATATGGCGAGCCGGTCATTAAAGGACCAAAGTGATTGCAAACAATTTTCAGTAGAAAAATAGTGAAAAAACTATCAGAAAGTGATTAAAACGTCGATTTTTACAAGAAAAATAGTCAAAATCCGCAAATCGCAACGAAAATTAACGAACAGTGAACAAGAAACTCGAAAAAAAAGAGTGAAAAAAAAGTTGAGACGAGAAACGTGACCAAACGACGAACAAAGCGAAGAGAAAAAACCCTGCGTAAGCGATTTACAGTGCGAATTTGTGCATTTCGAGTGAGACTTTGTCACTTATAAGCATACTTAAATTAATATCATTGCAAATGAATAAAATTGAATGAAATTTTTTGCATGAAATATAAAAATTGACCGAGCAAAATCGCAAACGGTGAACAGAGACGTACTGAAAAAAAAAACTCCGCGTAAGCGGATATCAATGCGAATTTGTGCATCTCGAGTGACAATATCGCTTATAAGCATGCTAAATTAATATCATTGCGAATAAATGAAATTGAATGAAATCCTAAGTCGACGTCACAGTTAGAATGAAAAAAAAACCCTAAGTACAATGTTAGCCGGTAAATGAAAAATGGAAAGTGCCAATATAATTATAACTGTTAACACGATTCACATGACCCAAAGTGAATACAGACAACTTCTGAAATCGAAGATCATCAACAAAATAAGCGAACATAAACTAAAAAATATCGCGAGTTCTAGCAAAGTGAAAAAAAATTTCAAAAAAATCAGAAGCGAAATTTCTAACGAAAATATCGAAAACGTGGACGAATATATCGAAAAGGCAGTCAATGCACACAAGCGTACACTGTTGTACCGAAATAACAGATGGCGCAGTTAAAGTCAAGTTTTTAGCAAAGACACAAATCACAAACCTTTCAACGTGAATTTTTCAAACTTCTAACGTGAATATTTTCTCGGGAATTTTCATGATTTTTCTTACATCGCTATTTTTCTGTGGACAATAAATCTGAAAAAAAAAACTGAAACATAAGTACATTCCAGTTGCGAGAATCATGAACAAATGAAAATTGAATGAAAGACATTGTGCGCTAACGCTAACATCGTGTGACATGAATTAGTTTTTGACATCGTAAAATTTGAACTATTCGATAGTTGAACAAGTTTTTGTTTTGAGTTAACAATATTCTTCGAATTAAATATTTTTTTTTTATGTTGTGATTTCATTTTAAATAAAATAAAATGGAACATGCGAGAAAATTGAACATTTGGCTGGGTGATATGACAGCTAAAATACGTGAGCTCATGAATAAACTCGAAGATGAAACAACACCAGAAAGTGAACATGAAACATGTGAAATATTATTGGAATTCTACAGAAAATTACGCACAGCATTAGAAAGAGGTACATCCTCGTCGGATGAGTACACAAACTACAATACCGACAGCGAGTCATCCTACCAACTCACTTCTGACGAAGAGCAATAGTGGAAATTCATACAAAAAAAAAAAACTATTTTCAAAATAGAGTTGCGAGTTCATACAAACATTTCCCAAATAATTTTCCAAATAATTTAAAGACATATATAATGGCCGAAATCATAGCGACCATAGCTGCAGTAGTGACTTTGGGCGCGTTCATCGGAAGCAGCATATCGAACTATCTTTTTAATTCAAATAATTCAAATGAAAAATCTACCAGTGAAATGAAAAATGACATTAAGATTATGGCGACCGGTATAAAACAGACCAGTGCAGTTGAGATAATTTTACTAATAATCACACTAGTTATCGTCATAACAATACTCGCAGCCGTGTGCGTTTTTACCACAAAATACATCGTCGAAAAATGCAGAAAACTTAACGACGAACCGACCGTGCGATTCACAAGAAATAATAACAATGCTGAAGCAAACAACAACGCTGGAGGCGCAGTTGTAATAATCGAGGAGGACGAATAAGCCTACAACCCAGAAGAAAACCACAATCAAAACGAACAGAGGGGATTCAACAAAGCTAAGCAATAATTTAAGTTGATTTTCTTTTATAAAAAACTATTCTAAGTCGAGAATCAATGCGAAATTAGAATTCAATATTTCACCAGTTACCAAGATTTCAAATATCCAATAATTTTTAAGAAATTCGATTTTTTACCAACTACTAAGCATTTTAACAATTGTTACTTTAACAATTAAATTTCTTTTTATAACTACTATTTCATAACATTTATCATTTTACCAATACATACGTTTTAATAATTCTAAATCATTTTTTTTTTTAAGAATTCATCTTTAACATTTTTATTTTTGATTTTCGTCTATTACAAATACAATATATTTTATTCGTAATTTTTATCATAAGAACTACATTTCCCAAATATTTTGAATTTTAATTTACTATGAGCTTCAAAGCAGAAGAATTTAAGGAAATCAACAGTAAATTCATAAGAGAATTCAAACGCATAGACATATACAATAGATTCCCTTTGACTAAAAACGAATAGCTAAGAGAAGAATTAAGATTATCAATCACCGAAACATCTAAAAAGTAACGAAGTAACGAAATATCTAAAAAGGGCAGAAACAAAAACGAAAGTAGAAAAAAATAGATTAAGTTATCGAGAACAGCAAGCAAGGGGCTTGACTAAACTAAGAAAGGCATTTGATACACTTTATATTAAATACGAATTCGAAGATAGTCTGTTTGCTCAAATCGATATTAACAAAATCTTGGTGGAAGAAATACCGAATTCGTCAAATGAAAGTAGCGAGAGTAACACGAATAACTTACAGGTTCAAGCTAGCACTAGCAGTACTGTAGATCAAAGTGATACAGAAAGTTTGGTTAGTGTAGAATTAAATTTACAAACTGACCAAGACGACGACGAGTTTTTTGAACCAACCACATCTAACGAGACAGACGAAAAAACGAACCAAGCGACAGGTAGTCAACAATTAGATAATAACGATAACGAACCACCATTACAGCCATTGACGGCTGATGCAGATCAGCAGCCACTAAACGGCGATAATAATAAGCAACCACTAGACAATAACGCTGGTGAGCAGCCGCCAAACGAGCAACAACAACGAATGAATAACGAGGAAGCAAATCAAATACAAAATATGGCAATGTCACGCAAAGAATTTTTGCGCCTAGCCGCATCAATGCTGAGCAAATACGACGGCGACCCACTTCAACTAAATGCATTTGTTGATGGTGTGCAATTATTGAAAGAAATGGTAGAGAACGACGACAAAGACGTATTCACGAAATTTGTCATGACTCGTCTCGAGGGTGCTGCTCGAGAAGCAGTCGAAGACGATCCAGATTATGTCGACGACATAATCGCCGATTTAAAAGAAAACATCAAAGTTGATTCTTCAAAAGTGATCGAAGGACGCATGTTAGCGCTTCGCACTGACAAGATGAACATGACAAAATTCTCAGAACGAGCTGAGGAATTGGCTGAAGATTTTAGGCGTAGCCTACAAATCGAGGGCTTCTCAAAAGCCAAGGCCAAGGAATTGTCAATCGAAAAAACGGTTGAATTATGCCGAAAAAACGCACGCAATGACACTGTAAAAGCAGTGCTTGCCGCGTCGAAATTCGAAACGCCGAAAGAAGTTATTTCCAAAATGATTGTTGAAATCAGCAACCCAAAATTGGACAGAGGCGGTACATCTTTCCAAAAGAAAAACAACAATCTTAACCACAACAACAATCGAAACGGTGGTCGATACAGTAACCATCGCAACAACAACGGCAACAACAGAAACAATCATCGTAATAATCCAGAGCTGTGAACCACGTAGTTATTTCTCTGTGGCGCCGATTTAACTACGATCTGTCAAAATGTACTTGGAAAACTACTTTAGATGCCTGGATCCACGCTGTCAAATGTCATCATTCCGCGCCGAACGTCATTCAGTCGTATTGTTTATTCTTGTTCATTGTGCGAAATTGGTGTTGAAAGCAGTTCAAAGTGTAAGGTTGAAAATATATTTCAAAAATGTGCGATGATATTTGTAAGTGAATGAAAGTTTTAATAGCTCTGAAGTGGTTTAACAACATGAAAAAAAATGCTTTCTTCTGATTGTTTTAAAAGGTGCTCTGAATAATTTAGATGACGCGACAATATTATCAAATTTAAAAACACGTTTTCAGAAGAAAAATTTATATGTGAGTTTTTTTCGACTTTATTAAAAGTGTTAGTAATTTTCAAAATAAGTTGATTTAGCTTTTGTAATATTTTCAGACGAATGCATCAAACGTTTCAATTTTCATAAATCCATATGAAAATATTGAAGGAATTTATGGATCCGAACAAATATCAAGATATTTGACTAATGAGAGTATAGTCGAAAAATTACCACCACATATTTATGCTACCGGTAATTTATTTTTATCGCATTTTCATGATACGACCTACTATGTCTCAACTTATTTTAGCAAACGACGCCCTGAACAAATTGAAACTTTTCAAGAGGAAACAATCAATTTTATTAACGGGTGTATCGGGGTCTGGAAAAACACAAAATTGTGAAAATATCGTTGACTTTTTATGTCAGGAATCCAATTCGAAAAATGTTGTTGATGTTGGTTTTATTCTTGAAGCATTTGGAAATGCTACGACGCACCAAAACACGAACAGCTCCCGATTCTGCAAATATATAGAGGTACAGTTTCAAAAACCAATCAATTCATTTGGAATTTCTATTTTGTTAATTTTTATTTCTCATTATAACAGATTTTCTTCAATGAAGAGATGCAACAAACTGGTGGTAAAATATCATACCATTTGTTGGAGGCACATCGAACTTGTGGTACAAATCCAAATGAATCTAATTTTCATGTTTTTTACACATTACTCCACGGCCTATCAACCAATCTATTGAATAATATATGTCTTGACAAAACAACTCACTATAGAGTAAGTACAAACAGTACAATCCATCGTAATCTTCTTCCATATTGATTTAATTTGTTGGGATCCAGGCATGAAAACTAAAAACATGCAATAAAAACAGCAAAAGCAGTCATTTAGCGTAATTTATTCATTTGGGAAAAAGTATATTGATTTTAATTATGTTTTGATATTGTTCGTTGCCAAACCAAAATCATGCCGCAATAACAAAGTTGTGTTAAATTTCTTTCACTTTTTTGTAAAATATTTCTAGTATCTACCAGATCGAGACCTGATATTCAAAACCAATGATAATACATGTTTGGACACCAACTTCAATCTTTTGGAGAAAAATCTGAGCAAACTTGGTTTCACAATGAATGACAAGAAAAACATATATTCAGTTTTGTCGGCAATATTGAATTTGGGTAACGTGGAATATGAAAAAATTAGCAGTGACGAAAGTTGTTCCATCAAAATTGAGTCAAGAAAATATTTGTGTAGTGCGGCTGCTCTATTAAACATCAATGAAGTGGAACTAGAAGAAGTATTAACCAGCCACACCAGAGAAGTTTGTGGCCAACGAATCATGTAATATTTCCACGTATTTTCAGAACAAGCATGTGATCGGTACGTATGATTCAATTTTAAAATATTTTATTGCATTTTCTTCCAGATCTCCATTATCCAAGACTGCAGCGGAAAATACAAAAGATGGTTTAGCAAAATTGGTCTATGAAAAACTATTTGGTCAAATCATGCAATTCATAAATAATCATCTCTTTCAATCTTCATCGTCAAATCACTCCATTGGAATCTTGGACATAGCAGGATTCGGTAACTTAAAATCTGATTTCATGTTATTAATTTTTCTTCAGAACACATTCCATAGTAATTTTAAAGTTCTCAATATTTAAATTCACTAATGAAATGAAATGCTCCATCTTCTTTTATTTTCTTGAAACAAATTGTGAAAATAGAATATTCAACGAAGACTCATAACACATTCGACCAACTATGCATCAATTATAGTAACGAGCGCGTGCAAAAATTTTTCGTTGATATCGCTTTATTGAGTGAAAAACAATGGCATGATAGTCAAAGTCTGGACATACCGTTCATAGATATCCTTGACAACTCTCACATTATTGGTATGCATTCCGATGATATTAAGTCTCATTAAATTTATATTTGATTTTATATTTCAATGGTTTATAATAATGATTATGAGAAATTGTTCTTGAATTATTATTTAGATCTTTTTCACAATAAAACAAAAGGTATATTTACCTTGCTCAACGATGAATGTAAATTGCAGAAGCCTTTAATCCAGAACTTTGCAAGAAATTTGATGAAGTGGGAAAAAGATGCAACAGCAGCAATTTCATGGAATATTCAGGGCAGAAAATCGGAAAGTATATTCATGATTCGTCATTTTACAAACAATGTTGTATACTCAACGGTATGTAATATTTGTGGTTCATTCAAATACCAATAAAAATCAATATTATTCATTAAAATAAAAAACTTACAGCGTGATTTTGTCGAAAAAAATAAAAGAAACCCGGCGAAATCTATACTTTTGTTAATAGACAAAACAAGAGGACTTTTTGGGAAATCAGATATCAAATCAGAATCAGAAAGCAAGACCACTGCTTCAGCTCTTAGATGTGAAGTGGACAATTTAATAGATAAACTTAGAAATACCGTAATCTTTAAAAATTATTTAAAAATTAATACGATAATAATATCATCAGAGGAAGAAAATACGTAATAAATTTCTCTTTTCTGAATTTCAGGATACGCATTTCGTCCGTTGCATCTTACCAAATACTGAAAAACTAAAGGAAAAGTTTGATGAAGGATTGGTTTTAAAACAGCTTCACACGTCAAGTACCATATCATATGCAAAATTTATTCGCTTTGGATATCCGAAGCGTATTGACTTCAAAAAACTTGTCGACGCTTGTGAGCCCATAAGAAGGAAATTAAGCACAACGTGTGGAAAATCGAACTTTTATTCAAAAGTTCTTTTATCTCTTGGATTTAAATTCAACGAATTTAAATTTGGCAAAGACGCAATATTTTTCCGCTCAAATAGATTCTATTTGATAGAGAAGTTTTTTTCCGACTTACTTAGCGTGCCTATTCCCACTACAGTCCAATTATCACAACAGGAAAAACGCGAACCCAAGTAATTGCATTAATATTACAAATTAGAGCTAACTTTCGCATATAGATGCTAATTAATTCCGATAAAATTCTTTTAGATCATTTTCTGAAAATCCGTTGGAAAGGATTGAAGGCTATTTATGGCGCTCGAAGTGGAATTGCATTTTAAATGCCTATCAATTTATGAGTAAGAATTCCACTGCAAATATTGGCCAATTTCCAAGGTTCATCTAAATAACAAAATTAAATATGGTTCATTGGCGATTTCAGAAAGATTAGAAGATGCTGCAAAGAAGAAAAATAAGTCAGAAAATTCATTGGAAACACAAATGAATCGGTCAATCGAAAAACATGTCGAAAAACCTGTCGAAAAACCTGTCGAAAAACATGTCAAAAAACCAAAACGTCCACTCATCGAACCTAATGGAGAGCCGGCTAAGAAACGGAACAAAACAGAAAAGAGACCACCTTTCGAAATGCGATTTGATAAAATGGAACACATGCCACAAAAACACAAGTGCGAACCTGTACGGTGCAAAATGGAAGGTTGTGATCAGAAGTCACGCTTTTTTTGTATCAAATGTAAAGTTCACTTATGCTTGACAGAGGATCGCAATTGTTTCAAGAATTTCCATTATATTGGAAAAGAAAATCTCGTTTGAATGTATGACATTCAGTTCACAGTAACTTCTTATTTCGCTAATTTAGTTTACAGACGAAAAATGTATTCTCAACTATTTTTAAGATGTAACTTTTCGTTGTTGATTCACTTAAAAAAAGAACAATAAAAAAAAACTTCCGGTGTTCCGGTGTTGCACTACAAGTATTCGAAACTTGAATCACATTACTTGACATTACTGTTGTACATGTTCTTCCATATTGATTTAATTTTGAGGGATCCAGGCATGAAATCTAAAAACATGTAATAAAAACAGCAAAAGCGATCATTCAATGTAATTTAACATTATTCATTCATTTATTTGGTATTAATTAGCAGCAGCGCCTATAAAGCGGTTTCACATTGCTTTTTCAAAATTTCAAAATTATAATAAATTGGATTTTAAAATCTGGTAAAAATATTAAATAATTCTTAAAACATTCATTGAATCTTAGCATGTCGATTTTTGTTTTGATTATACGTATTATATAAATTATATTTTTTTTTTATTATTCCAAGCAAGAAGTTACACCTGTAGTTAACTTTAAACGAAATAATTACCTTTTTTATTTCCAATCCATATGAAATTTATTTATTGGCCAGCCTTGTGAACAGCATCTTTTCTCTTATGGCGAATAAGTTCTCCGCGTTCTTCATCAGTGATTTTCTTGCCGATCTTTTCTGATTTCATTGTCATATAAGTTCTGATTATCTCCATTACGAATTCCTCTTTATGGCCATATTCTTTCGATGTTTGATACTCATGTTGTTCGAATTCGACCAATGGATACAAATCGTCAAAATCTATATTATTGAAAATAGATTTCAATACCATATCAAACACATTCCCTTGGTCACGATGTCGAGAAACGATTTTCATCACAGCGTTGGAAAATAATACGATTTTAAGAGTACTGGCAGACGGTTGTTTTGCTTCTGGTTTCAAGGAAAGGAGTGTATCATTAATTTTCTCCAATGGAGATAACAAAACTTCATTGGCACAGTCGGAACACTTATATCGGTTTTGCTCTATATTTTGCAACATTTTCTGTTCGATACATAATGACATATACGCAGTCATATGTTGGTCGTATGAACTAATATCTTCTAGTTCGAGTACCATCAATTCTTCGTAAGATATTTCCAACTCAATCTCTTCTGTACAATCTGAAACTTTTGGTAGCACTTTCTGACGATTTTTGGTTGATACTGTTAATATGCCTGTTGCGTTTGTTAGGGTATTGCTGCCAACAGATGTAATAATTGGATGACACACAAGCAGTTTTCGGAAAGCACTTCTAAACTCAACTGCGTTCGGGTTATCGTTTCGCCCTAAGGAGTTTCTGTGTGGAAAAAATATTGTATCCATAGCGGTTTAAAGAATAGATAAAAATAGATAATAATATTCTTTTCAAGAAACAAACCTGATCAATGAAAAAAATGTTTCTAGATGATCCTGACTGAATTGAAAGGTAAAGAACACTTTGAGTGGCCCATTCAAAACAAAATCATCATAAATTCCACGAAGACTCACAAAATTAAAATAGAACCCAAAAAATCCTCTTTCTGCTGACGATTGCAGGATAGGTGTACTTGTGGTTTTGGTTCGATATTCAAGTTGTTCTATGTATTCTTTAAAATGTTGACCAAAAGAAAATATGAAATCTGCTGTTGATGTGTTGAGAGGTAGTTTGTAGCCATGATCCTCGTGTCTTTTTTCGGTGACATTCAGAATGTTGAATCCATTATCAAACATACGAATAAATTCAACAGTTTTTTCACAATTAACAAATTCTCCATAGCCGTCTTGGGATAATATTTCCAGTGCATCTGCGACACTCTGACTTATTGTCTGGCAAGCCAGTTTGACGTTCATGGGCTTTTGATGCCAGTTGATGTGGTGTCTTGTTAATTTGTTACAGAGATTAAAGTTGTCTTGTGATTGTTTTTCCACTAATATGCGTAAGAGGTCCCAGTTAATTAATTCATTTGAATGATATATGTTTTGCGACGAAAAATGCTTGCGCACCAGTTTTATCGCGTGTGGAGGATCGAAAACAATATAGATTTTTTGTTTTTGATGTGTGGGGCTGTAAAAGTAAGATTTCCCTTCATTAAACTTGGCGCCAAGTATTTCTGTAGCCGCGATGTTTGTAATAAGTCCATCGCCTGTTAACGAAATCACAATTGCTCCAGTCTGTTCGATTCTCTTTATTACTTCTAACGTGTATATCGCTCGGTCTACGGCTTCCAATCCATTTAAGAAGTGATAAGCGAGAGAGAGTCATTCTGTTGAGATAAATTGGTCATTGTGCTAAATCCAATGAATGACTGTTTTTCAGCAGACCAGCAAATTTCTTTTCTAATGGAAGTCTCGTCAGACATGACACAAAGATGCAATGGATGGTGGTTTTCTGCTAAATATGATGTAGCCTTTTCACGAATAATTTCAATAGCGCTGTCACATATTCCTGGTGAAGCATCGATGGAGCTGTACCACAATTGAAAAGTTCGTTTCGACGGTAAATTCTTATTGAAGAAAAACCGTAAGGATTGATACGCAGCAAATGAATAATACTGTTGTCTCATGCAGAATTTTCTAACATTTTCCGAATATTTCCCATTCTTACTGTTTCCATTTACCAAACAGTGGATTACTTCTCTTTGCTCCTGTAATGAATCCGATTGCAATCAGTAAACAACTATGCACATGCTTTGATTTGCTTGTATACTTACATTGGATAGATGGCACATATTTATACATTGCCGTTCGTCAAGTGCGCTTCTCAGTTGTTTTAATTGCGCATCCTTTAATTTGATTATATTTTCCATTTGCTTGATAGTCGTTTCATGTTTTTTCACTTGAACCATGAGTTGCATGAGGTTTTTATACTCTTCAATCGTTATTGTTTTGAAATGCAGCTCAGATGCGACTTCCTCTTCATGTTCTAGCAAAACAAGGTTCAAATCGTTGATATGACTATTTTCATAGAGTTCGTCGTTATTTACAGCACCGTTGTCGATGTTACTAACAGGTTGTTGTAAACTAAAGTTTTCCAGTA